CTTGAATTTTAAAAACTTGTATGGTGTTTCATTGTATTTTGTTTGTAGACTTGAATTTTAAAAGTTGTATGGTGTTTTAATGAAAATTTCATAAAATCCTATGATTATGTAAATTAGAATCTGAAATATATTGTATGTGGTTTCGAGTGTATTTCAATTTAATAAAAGTAAACTAAACATGAACAAGTAAATAAAAAAAATTGTATAGTTGTTTAACTTCATCGTAAGTGTAACTTCGCCTGAACAAGTACAAACAAACCTGTTCATGGATATCATCAGGGAGGTTGGCTTGAAAGACATCCTATGGAAATAAATAAACAAAAAATAAATATAAAATTTTGCCAACTCAAAATAAATGATAGATCAACTTAAAAATAACAAAAAAATAAACAAATAAGGAACTTACCATATTTTGAGAAGGAATAGTATAGTTTCAGCATCTTTATTTTGGAACACATCAGAAGCAGAATCATCAAAAGTGTCGACACAACTCCCTTCAAACACAAATAAAAGAAAACGTAAAAAAAAAAACAAACTATCAAAGAAGTTGAAGAGACGTGGTATTTGAAAAGTTTGAAAAAAAAATTGAGGTATATAATAAAATTGTCAAAACAATTAATTTAAAAATAAATTTTAGATTGTTAAAAATGAAATTGTAGACACGATTGTATAAAAATGTAATAAAGAGAAGAAAAATGTCAAGGGTTGTAATTTTTTCCTTTTGCTCTGACCCTAATGGGGCTGGTTCGGAAATTAAAGGTAGATTTTGTTTTCAATTTATTTTTCTGGATGTATCTCAGACCTGTGTCGGGCTCGGCCCAACCTGCTGGATCGTATACCCGGCTCGAGCCTAGATAAGGGTCAGTGTTTTCAACCCAGAGACTTGTCGGGCTAGACCAGGCCTGGATGGCCATGTGTAATTGAGTGAATCGAATTGTGCATTTTGGTTTCCAGGGTAAGCAAAATTGGATTGAAATCAAAAGATTGAGCCTAAACGTGCAATTTGGTGCAATAGGTGAGCAAAATCTGGACCAAAAAAAAATGTGTGGAATTGTGCAACTTGCTGAGTAGGGTAAGCAAAATCGAAACGAAACTAAGGGGGTGATTGTTTATTGTCTGTATAATAAAAAAATCAATCAAAACTCAAATTTAACTCAACCTCACTATCTCCTATATTATAAATATAATTAAATAATATCAACCAATCATTCTTACACATCACATCAACTTTAATTCACTCACAAATTTTAACTAACTATCAATTCCAGTCATTTTTTGCATACTTTACATCAAATCAACTTTAATTATTATATTTAAATATTATTCTAATATATCTACTAACAACTAACAATACAACTTTTTTTTTCAAAAGTAACTATAGTTTAAAAAAATCAAATAAAAACTAATTGAATCCATAAACAATCACACCCTAACAAATCGAGTTGAATTTGGCAATTTGATGAACTTCAATTAACCTATTTTAGTGCAAAAAATTCCAACTGCATAAAAATGAAAAACGAAATTTAGTGAA